AAGGAGAAAAAGGAAAGATTCACCCATGTTATAGCATCATCAGAACTCCATTCCCTTTTATGGCCAGGTGTGATCCATTATATAGAACACACATTTTTTTACCCATTCATTGGTTAAAAACAGCCTTCTGAGTTACGTCCACTCTTTGGCAGTTGTGAAGAGTGCTGCTGTGAACTTTGTGTCTAGTGTTTGTGTGAAGACGAACTTTGGGTATTCAGCTCTTTGGGGAATGTACATAGCAGTGGAATTGCTGGGTCGTGCAGTAATTTTTTGTCTGGGTTTTCAAGGAACTACTGCACTGTTTGCCCTAGTGCCCGTGCTACTTTACCTTCCCACTAGTGATGTGTGAGGATTCCAACTTCTGCACACACTCACCAACATTATTTTGCTTATAAAAATGTATTGTAGTCACCCTAATGGGTGTGTAGTATCTTAATTTGCCTTTGCTTCGAGCACTTGCTGCATGTCCTTTATTCACAGTCTCATTTCACCCTTCAGTATCCTTTAGGGTAAGTGGAATCACCCCCCTTTTCCAATTGAGATAAGCAGGTCTCACGAAGGTAATGGCAGCCGGAAGTGGTGGTACATGTCTGTAATCCCAGCCCTCTGGGAGGCCGAGGCAGGAGGACCACAGGTTTGAGCCCAGCCTGGGCAGCTTATGACTTAGCAAGACCCTGTCTCAGCATAAAAAAAATTAAACAAGGGCCAGAGATAGAGCTCAAGGATAGTGACACACACAAGGAAATACACAGTAACTGACAGAACCAGGGTTCTAAATCTTACCCGCTGCAAATTTAGTCTCCTGTTACCTTACACAGGCCTACATCCTGTCTCATAACCAGTCTCTTTTAGGAAATCTGTCTCCTCTTAAGCTCTGTCCTCTTCCTGATCCATCACTTGGAACAACAAGCTCTCATCTTCCTCTTTTTCTCTAATTTTCCTTCTCTGTTAAAGCAGAATCCTCTGTACCTCTGTTTGTCAGCCAGTCCCTGGGCTTCTTTTGCCTTGGTCACCCTGTCTCCCTCAGTCCTGATCCTGAAAGGGAGGTTGCCATGGCGTGCTTGCCTGGGGAGGGCCAGACACGGAGCAGCCCCCCTCCGCACACCGCCTCCTCCTCAGGGAGAGAACCAGGTGTGGAAGCTCTGTGACTGGAGAGGGACCAGCTGGTGGTGGCTGCTGCAGACCTCCCTGGGGGGCGGGAAGGAGCTGGCATCCCACTGCAAGACTCTCAGGTCTAAGATCCAGGAAAGGGAAAAGGGCCCGGGGCTGCTCTGTCCGGCCCGCCCTGGGAGTGTCTGTTCTCCTCAAGTCCATGGGGTTTCACGGCCAGATTCAGTTTTATCTTCCACTCGGGACTAGACGGCTTGGCTCGGGCACCTGGGCCATCTAGGGTTTTCTTTCCGGATGGGAGTCGGCACTGGGAGGGAGGGGTGGAGGATGTTCCTTCCTAGATTTGTTTAGCTTGTGTGTGATGACAACAGAGCAGCGTGGGAAATGTGGGTTCTGCACCAGGGGGAGGCCACCCGACTCCCTGGAGAGGGCTCCATCCAGGCTGGGGCTCCAGGCAGGCTCTGCCTTCATCCCTGACCCGGTCCCGCCTCCCCGATGGCAGTGTGTGGACGGTGGGATGGAAGGAGCAGTGGAGCAGTAGAGTGGGCAGGAGCCCTAAGATGCTTTCCCAGAGGGCTGGGGGTGCAGCTCAGTGGTAGAGTGCTTGCCTGGCAGGCACGGGGGCCTGGGTTTGATCCCCAGCACTGAAAAAAAAAATCCAAAAATGCTACTTTCCTGGGCTCCAGGCTGCACGCAGAGGTTGCCGACCTCGTGGTCGCTCAGTTGTCCCTTTGGCAACCTTCGGGAAGCTCTCCGAGGACGGCCATAGAGCATACACTGCAGCGAGAGCTTGGTGCCTCCCACGCCACTCATGTGCTCTCGTTCCCATGCATGTGCACCCCTCCCCCGCGTTCCCAAGGGGCCCGGTGGGTGAGTGACGTCTTCCTGGTGACCACTAGGATGAGGACCCTTCTGAGGATTTGCACCCGGCAGTGAGGCAGTGAGGTGTCAGATGGAACCGATCTGGGAGCCCTTTCTTTGCCTTGCTCACTTGGGGTGTAAAAATCCCACAGTCCCACCGTAGGAAATTCCAGTTCCATTGTTCTGGAGCGAGGCCAGGCCGTGGCTGAGGACCACCCAAGGCCCAAACATCTCAAGCTCTGGGTCTGTAGGTCTTGCCCAGGCTCTGGGGCTCGGTTCCTGACCAGATTCAAATCCGAGGTGTTTGACTCATCAGTTGTGTAGTCCTGGACAAGGTCTTCAGTTAACACCTGTGGGCCTTGGTTCTTTTTCTGTAAATGGGAATAGCCGCGCTGGCTGCCTTGTGCGACTGTTACTGGGATTCGGTGGATTTGAGTGTGGAAAGCCCCTGGCACACGTGGGAAAGTTATCGTTGTCCTTTGTGCAGGGCATTTAGAACAGGAATTCAAGAACCAGAGAGAAGTGGAAAGGCCAAAGGGAAAAGATATCACCTCCCTGGAAGTCCATGGCGCAGAGCTGTCCCCAGGAGGGACACAGTAGAGATGTTCTGTGACTGGAAGTGGGCTGTGCGGAACCAGCATTACAGACACGTTGCCAAGGAGTCCCTAGGCAGGGTGGGTAGGAAGTAGCTGGGACCCTGCTGCAGGATCCCCAGGCTGGAGTCTGGTGGAGGAGAGGCCTTGGTCAGGGGAACAGGCCCGAGTGTGTCTGTTCTCCTCATTCATGGAAATTTCTCAGGCAGCTTTAACTCTGAGTTTCCATTTGTAAGCCAGACAGATGACAAACTGAGTGAAGAAAGAGTCAAGCTGCCAGAGGGGAGCCAGGGCAGGTGTGAATTTGCTATTTCGCGTCACATCCTCATGTAGTCCATACAGCTTCTTGTCACATTCTCATGTCACATTCTTATAACTGCATACTCATGGCGTTTCTCATGAGCTCCTTCCTCTGCCCTCTGGTAGGAGGGACGGACCTCTCTCCAGACCCCAAGTCCCTTTCCCGGGTGCTCTCCCCGAGGAGGGAGTGGAGGAGGCTGGGCAGCTTCTTCAGTGACACAGGCCAGGCGTTGCACGCAGAACTTAATTTGGGGGCTGGGGCTATGGCTCAATGGTAGAGCACTCACCTAGCCCATGAGAGGCGCTGGGTTCAACCCCCAGCATTGGCAAACAAAACAGTTTTGTGTATTTCTGTCAATACTGAGTGCATTTGTTGGTGTACTCTCCTAAATAAAATTATCACAGTTTCATAGCAAGCATCCACCTCCCTGGGAGGGGAAAAAAAGGGATGTGCTGCCTAGATCAGACTCGGGATTTGACAAGTGCTTTCTGTAGGCCGCTCACTGCTGAGTGCCAGATGCCATCTGGGTCAGGCTCAGCAAAGACTCAGAGGAGATAGGGCTGCACCCATTTTACAGGCCAGGACACTGAAGGTCAGGACGGTGCAGAGACGGGCTGTTTGCTGTCACTGGGGAGCAAGCAGGGAGTAGGGTCTGAAGTCAGATGGAGAGTTAGACCCTGGGGTGGATCATTAAGGGAGACTGGGGAGGAGGCGCCTGTGTATGAAAGGCCGGACATTCAGAGCAGCTCTCCACGTGGGACGGCAAGAGGACGCGGGGAAAAGCCAGAGCAAACCCAGAGCACAGTGCGACTTCAGGAGCCCAGGGAAGGCCTCATCCTCCCAGCGTCCTAGAGGCCCCATGACCTGAGACAGCCCCAGGAGCACTGCCCTCCGTGGCTCCTGAGTTTGGCAGGGCTTTTGTTTTCAATGGTGTTTTCCAGTAACTTTGCACCTTAGCAGATATCAAGCGAGCCACTTCTGCCTGTGGTTGGCACAGGCTGTTTCCGGTTCTGGAGCATGTGACTGGGCCACTTTCTTTGTCTAACCCCCTTCCCCACATACGGCTCACCCCGCCCTGCCCTGACCCGGACTTACCCAGGGTGTGCTGTGTGTAAAAATACACGGGGTTGAGACATTTCCTGGTGCTTCCGTTGTTACATGGCCATAAGGCCCGGTCCTCGCTGCAGAGATCCTCCAGCGGGTGCACAGGGTGGCAGCCCAGGGACAGCGCCTCCGACCCTCTCGGCAGCCAGCCGGCTGGCACTCCACCTCTCTGCTCCTGTGGCCTTCCCTTCCTTCTCCCTGTCCTTCTTTTCTCCACCCCTCTTCTCCTAGCCTCTGAGTTTTGGGCCTCCCTGATGTGCTTGGGAAGTCTGCCTGCCTCGTTGGGGGAAGTGGGGCTCTCGCTTCCTTCCTGCACATCCTTGCCCTTCCCAGCCGGGCAGCTGCTCCCCTCAGGCCCCCAGACTGTTCCCTGCTGCCCTTAGCCTGAGTCACCTCACACTTCAGATCTTGGGGACCTGGCGGGGGGGCCACACTCCTCTCCCGATTCCGGGAGACAGGGAAGGGCGGGGGCTCCCACCTTCATGAAGCGCAGGACGTTGCTGACACCTTCAGAGAGCTGGAAGGTAACGGAGGGGCCTCCCGAGAGGTAGCAGCGGAGGCTGTTAGTGAAGACAGGGTGGGCGGGCAGGACAGTGTCTGGCCAAGAGGCAGCTTTGGGCAGCTCTGTAGGACAGGCTGCTTGTCCGCTGGGACAGTGGTTCATTTCCTTCCTGAGAAATCTACCCTGCGACTCCCTGATGAGGCCCCCGACCCGCTAGGTCCCAGCAAGCGTTCTGGGCTGGAGGTTCTGTCTTCATAGCTGTGTTTCTGAGTAACTTGTTAGACCTTCCTGGGTCAAAGGTTAAGCAGATCTGCAAAGACTGCATTTTAGGGATGTAGAGGACAGGCCAGCGAGCAGCTTGAGGCTCCTGCTGCTCTTTTAGACTCTTTCCCTGGAGTTTCCTCTCCATGCTGCATCCATCCCCAGGTAGCAGGCCCAAGTCCAGAGGCGTCCCCCGACACTGAGGGTACTGCGAGCTGTCGCCCGTGGGCCCCAGGTTGATCCATGCGTCCTCTCTCGCCTCCCCCAGGGTGACAAAGCAGACCTCGTGGCCCTGAGCCTGCCCTCTGCCGCTGGCCATGGTGACACTGAGGGCCCCCTCAGCCTGGACGTGCCGGACGGGGCGCCCGACCCGCAGCGGACCAAGGCGGCCATCGACCACCTGCACCAGAAGATCCTGAAGATCACGGAGCAGGTCAGGATCGAGCAGGAGGCGCGGGACGACAATGTGGCCGAGTACCTGAAGCTGGCCAACAACGCGGACAAGCAGCAGGTGTCGCGCATCCGGCAGGTGTTCGAGAAGAAGAACCAGAAGTCGGCCCAGACCATCGCGCAGCTGCACAAGAAGCTGGAGCACTACCGGCGGCGCCTGAAGGACATCGAGCAGAACGGACCCTCGCGGCAGCCCAAGGACGTGCTGCGGGACATGCAACAGGGCCTCAAGGACGTGCGCGCCAACGTGCGCGCGGGCATCAGCGGCTTCGGGGGCGGCGTGGTGGAGGGCGTCAAGGGCAGCCTCTCTGGCCTCTCACAGGCCACCCACAGTGCCGTGGTGTCCAAGCCCCGCGAGTTCGCCAGCCTCATCCGCAACAAGTTTGGCAGCGCCGACAACATCGCGCACCTGAAGGACCCCCTGGAAGACGGGGCCCCCGAGGAGGCGGCGCGGGCGCTGAGCGGCAGCGCCACGCTCGTGTCCAGCCCCAAGTACGGCAGTGACGACGAGTGCTCCAGCGCCAGCGCCAGCTCGGCCGGGGCGGGCAGCAACTCCGGGGCCGGGCCGGGGGTCCCCCTGGGGAGCCCCAAGTCCAACGCGCTGTACGGTGCCCCTGGAAACCTGGACGCTCTGCTGGAGGAGCTGCGGGAGATCAAGGAGGGCCAGTCACACCTGGAGGACTCCATGGAGGACCTGAAGACGCAGCTGCAGAGGGACTACACCTACATGACACAGTGCCTGCAGGAGGAGCGCTACAGGTGGGCCCCTGCTGGGCAGCGCAGGGCGAGGCAGGGCAGGGAGTGGGAAGGAGGTGCAGCACGGGAAGGGGCCCCCAGGAGCTTCCTGTGGCCTGAAAGGAGGTTCCACCTCTCTCCAGGTGCCTGACACCGGCAGCCTCTCCTCTGGGGAGACTGAGGACACAGTGACGCTGGAGCCAGCTACCGGGGCTCCAGTCCCAGCTCGACTTGTGAGGGGTTTTGTTCAGCTTTTGCTGAGACAGGGCCTCACTGTGTAGCGCAGGCTGGACTTGAGCTTCCAGTACCCCTGCCTCAGCCTCCTGAATGTTCGGGTCATAGGCGTGAGTCAGCTCGCAGCTCTCGGGCTGACTGTACCTGAGCAAAGCAGGGGACACTGTGCTGAGCTGTCTTTGAAGGGAGGATGATGTGGGTCCTGTGGTCACAGGGCTGTCGTGGAAAGGGAACCGTAAACTCAGAGTGTGACTATGCAGCAGCGGGGGAAGCCACGAGGGCAGCCTGGAATCCAGCTGGAGTCTCTGGCCCCCTTGCTCCCTGGGATTTGGGAATCTTTTCGTTAGTCAGCCCTTCTTTTTCCTTCTCCATATAAAGAAATTCTGATATGTTGAGGGAGAACCCCGCCCAAAACCCAGCCTCCCCAGAACAGTCATCCGTTGGTACTTGTACCTCTCAGAGCAGGGGTCGAGACCTCTACATGCGGGTGTCCCTGGTTCCCGGGGGGCATCTGAGGCCAGGTGAAGCACCAGGTTAAAGTTTCTCCGTAACTCCCCCCCTAAGAGCTGTGTGGTCCCAGGCAGGGTCCTAAGCCCTGCGTCTCAGTTTTCCAGTCTGTCGAGTAGGGGTGCACTGGTCCCATCTCATGGGGCCGGGGAGGGGTCCTGTGAGGTAGCTGGGTAAAATCCTTGGCACAGCGCCTGCACGTAGAAGCACTGAGCAAATAGTGAGTGTACAATTAGAACAGGGCTGGACACGTGGAGTAGGTTGAGTCACTGCTGAGGGAATGAATGAGCCGGTCATGGGGAGAGGAGAGCGGCTTGGGCGCCAGGGCTGGTGTCACTCTCTCCCGCTGCCAGGTATGAGCGGCTGGAGGAGCAGCTGAATGACCTGACCGAGCTTCACCAGAACGAGATGACCAACCTGAAGCAGGAGCTGGCCAGCATGGAGGAGAAGGTGGCCTACCAGTCATATGAGAGGGCACGGGACATCCAGGTACAGCCAGGGCCTGCCCGGGTCGCCCCTAGATGTGCTGACAGAGCCGCCACTGCAGAGCTGGGGCATGATGGGAACACGGACTGCGAGGGCAGTGGGGCAGGAGGGTGAGAGTGAGCAGGCCTGTAGCCCAGGGGCACTGGGGCCAAAGCAAGCCCGCATCGAGGGCTGCCCCTGCCCCCTTATGCTGGCAGCCCCGCAAGTGAATAGGCCCTCAGTTCCCTCAAGAGGGAGCTGGGATTGGGCCAGCTCCTCTCCTTGCCTTATAATCAGGACTCACATTTGCCAGGCTCCTCTACAAAGAGTCAGAGTAAAGGGCTCTCCCCCGCTGTAGCTGATCAGCCCACCTCCCTCCTGGCCTTCGGAGAAGAGACCCAGTGGTTTGCCCCCTTTTCAGTGGGGCAGCGTGTTACTCCCTTTCCCCTCGCTGTCACAGAATGCCTGAGGCTGGGTAATCTGTGAAGCGAAGGGGTTTACAGTTCTAGAGGTCAGCTGTGCTGCCAGCTTCTGCTTACTCTGGGAAGGTCCATGGCAGGCGGCACCGCAGCTATGTAGAAGAAATCCCGCGGTGGACAGAAAGCTGGAGATTCAAGGGTCCGGTTTGCTTTTATAACAACCCACTCCGCAGGGACTCACTCTGCTGCGGCTTTAAGCCCTCCTGAGGGCAGTGCCCAGTGACCTAATTACCATCCATACCCACTCCGCTCTAGGGTTTGTTTTATTTTGTAGTACTGAGAATTAAACCCAGGGCCTTCATAATGAGCTCCAGCTCCAGCCAGCCATTTATTTTTGTACTTATTTGGGTTTTGTTATTTTTGTTTTGGTTTTTTGAGACAGCGTTTCCCTGTGTAGTTCAGGCTAGTCTTGAACTCACTGCATAGCCGAGGCTGGCCTCGAACTGCCTCAGCCTCCCGAGTGCTGAGATCACAGGCATGCACCACCACGCCTGTTTAGGCCCCACCCCTTAGGGATTCCTCCCTTTCCCGGCCGTGCGCACTGGGGACCAAGCTTCCAGCCCGTGAACCCTGGGGGACCACGTTTCAACTCTCTGTCCTTGGCTCCCTTCCCTGCAGGAGGCCGTGGAGTCCTGCCTGACCCGCGTCACCAAGCTGGAGCTGCAGCAGCAGCAGCAGCAGGTGGTGCAGCTGGAGGGCGTGGAGAAGGCCAACGCCCGGGCGCTGCTGGGCAAGTTCATCAACGTGATCCTGGCGCTCATGGCTGTGCTGCTGGTGTTTGTGTCCACCGTCGCCAACTTCATCACGCCCCTCATGAAGACGCGCCTGCGCATCACCAGCACCGCCCTCCTGGTCCTCTTCCTCTTCCTGCTCTGGAAGCACTGGGATTCCCTCACCTACCTCCTGGAGCACGTGCTGCTGCCCAGCTGAGCCGCCAGCCTGCCCTGGCCCGTGCTCCCTGGCCCCCGCTGGCCACACTTCTCCAGGAGGGACCCCAGGACTCCAGAGTCCCTTGAACACCTTCATGCGTCCGGTTTGGCCTCCTCCCCAAGTTGTCCGCTCCAGCTGTGCTGTCCCCTCCGTTCCTGCTTCTGTCTGACACCTTCTCTGTGGCCAAATGGAGCAGAGGATGCCAGGACTGGATTGTTCTGATTACTTACAGGGCTTCTCCCAGCTGACCTCAGGATGCCCCAAGTCAGGAAGGCCACTAAGAGCAGGGGAAGCCAGGGCTCTGCCTCGACTTCCCTTGGAAAGAGCCCTGCTGGAGGTGGCCATGGCCTCCCTTGGAGACAGGAAGAAGGCAAGCCAGGGAGAGGCCATGCCTGCCCCGGAGAGCACAGGCAGGGGTGGCCCCCGGCCTCCAGGGCCGGAGAGCAGAGAGTGCAGCCCACCCTGCACCCTTTTTTCTGCCAGAGCTGGTTGGGGGCTGGACCCTGCCGGGGTCTGCAGGCTGCCGGCTCTGAGCTGGGTGTGGCTTTGGACTCATGTTTTCCCTGCTCCTCTCTCTGCCTGACCCTCACTGGATCTTCTGTTTTGGGGGAACAGGCCCCAGGAGCTCTGAGCCTTGGCCCAAGCCCTTCCGCCTCTGGGAGTGCAATGGATCCTATTTATTTATTTATTTATTTCTTCCTTCTTCCCTCACCCTTGGCGAGCTCCAGCGGGAGGACTGCCAGGTCTTCCCTCTGAGCCCAGGGCTCGTCCTTGGCCCGTCAGGTGCTTGCATCCTATGTAGCCTGTGGATGATCCCGACTGGGAGAAGTGGGGTGCAGCCACCTGGCCCCACTGCCCTGGGCAGCCCCGCAGCTGGGCGGGGAGAGTGTCGCCTCTTTTATACGTCTATTTATTTTGTATGTGTATCATTGTGGGGAGGAGCCGTGGCCGCTTTCTTTCTGTGAGGCTCTGAGTGTTGTGATGGTTTCTGTTCACATCCCCGCCTCCCCGTGGGCACATCCAAGCACAGGGCATTTCTTGGAACGGGATCGAGGAATCCCCCGGAGCAGGGAAAGCAGTGCCTGCCAGCTGTGTGGACCTTCCTGAGAAATAAATAGCCTCTAAATTTTCAAACCATCCTGTCTGGTGTTGCTTGATTGGGCTGTCTCCATGGAAACCACCCAGCCTCTCCCCACACCCAAGCATTCTGGGTAGCACAGGCAGGGCTCATTTGCTGGCCAGGGGCCTTCTTCCTGCAGGATCTGGATATTGAACAAAGCAAGGCTGGCTTTATGGAGCCAGCGCTCTGGCCTAAGTGACATGACACCCACCCCGCCCAGTCTCATCCCGCCTACCTAGAGTGCTTTCTGAGAGGAGGGAAATTGGGAGAGAGATTCCCACAGGTTGCTGCAGATGAGCCCCTGAAGGCCAGGGTGAAACAGTCATGCCCAAGTGTGGCCACTAGATGGCAGCAGAGTCCTTTCTCCGAACCCTTTCGCCAGGTTCAGCCCGGAACGGACATCTATTGGGGTTAGCTTGGCTTTGCCAATGCCTCCAGCCAGGGCAGAGAGCACCTGCTCCCCAGGAGCAGGAGTGTGTTTTTCGTGTATGTGGTGTGTGTAGAGGCCAGGCCCTCAGTTTCTGCTTTGTACTTGCAGCCCCATCCTGGCAAGTCCCACAGAGGGCAGGCGCTGGATTCCCAACAGGAGCCCATGGGAGTCAGAACAAGCCACCTGAGTCTCCCTCCTGGGAGGAGGGATGCTGACCTGCAGTGAGGGATTGTGGGAAAGGACCCAGCGCAGAGCCCTGGGCCCTGGACCGAAATTAGTGACCTGGCCAACTCACACCCTGCCTGGGCCTCAGTTTCCACATCTGTAAATAGGACGGGCACAGTAGCTGCTCATTTCAGCTCTGGGGGCCTGACAAGTCAAAAGCTGCAGGCCTCAAGTTCCAGGGACTCAGGGAATGAGAGACAATGACCTAGATGTCCCAAGACAAAGGAGATCAGCTCACAGAGGACACAGTGCTAGTGCCAGGGGGAGGGTGGCATTGGCAGTTCGACTTCACCCTTTGTACCATGTGGGCATTTAAGCTGGCGACCTTACAAGGCCTTCCAACAGTGTCCTTCCTGGGCCCTGCACCTCCTCTTCCAACCACACGCATGCATGCACCTCCCTTGGGGGCCCCAGGTGGCGTGGAGCCCGCATTCCTGAGCCCCAGGTAGGGGGTGGCTATTCCAGGCTGCAGACATTTCCCACATTCCTCCCCAAGGTCAGGTGCCTTTCCTCAATTTGGCTCTTAAATGTCACAGCCGGCCACGGTCCACACTGAAGGGAGGAGTGCTGGGTCATTGTCAGCCAGTCCTTTAGGTGAAAGGCAAACGGGGCAGGGAGATTCAGCCCCAGCTACATCTTGTGCATAGAGGATGATACGTCCTGTACATCCGCCTCACCGTGGAAACCCTGCTGTGTGGGCACTGGGTTTTGTGCCTCCGACAGCCACTGATGCTACTTTGTTGGCATCTGAGCCTCAGCTTCCTGTGTAGGACACCTGCATGCCACCTCCAGCCTGTCTCCCACTGTCCCTGGGTTCACAGAGTGAGTCTCGAAATCACAGTTGCCACCTCCACGGGGGATTGGCCTCCTTCTCTCCGCAGGACCCACTGACAGGCCTGGCCTGGAGCATCTGTCCTGCAGATGTGGGACTGAGGGCTCAGCAGGCCGGGGCCTCCTGAGCATATGCTGGGTGCACTTGTGCAGAGTCAGCCACCGAAAAGCCTTGTGGGGCAGTGGTGCCCAGCAGGTGCAGCCCTGGCAAACACCAGAGTACCAACAGCTCAGGACAAGCTACTCCAAGTGGTTCTGGGCTGCAGAGGGAGGGACGGGAGAAGACACTGGCGCTCCAGGCAAGGAAGAGAAGGAGAGCTGTTGCTGGGACACCTCGAGAGATTGGGGGCCCTGCCTAATTTCCCCATGCCTGGCAGGATCCTTAAGTGAGTCCCGATCCCAGCAGTCAGGGCCCAGCAGACCTGGGATCTCGTGCCCCAGCGATGCCACCTGGCTTCTGCTTGGTCCCTGCTGCTCTCAGAACAATCCTCTCGCCTGCCAGTAGGGGTGGATGACAGGGTCATGGGACAGGGTGGGTGTCAAGGGCCAGCATAGTGGCTGGAACACAATGGAGTGACTAGCCTAGGCGGCTGCCACCACACCTCCTGCGAAATCTGGGGGTGTTAAGGGGCAGAGCTGCTGGAGAAGCTGGGGCCACCCCGCAGAACTGAGCAGGCCTCGGATAGTGGCCCCAGGAGACCAGTGGAAGCCCTCCTGCCCCGTCCCTCTTCTCTGGGAGCTCAGAGCCTGCTCCTCCCCGAGACCTTGCCCCTTGGTCTCACAGACAAAGCTGGCCCAGCCCCAAATCCCAGTCAGCTCTACAGGGCCTGGCCCAGGCCAGCAGCCACCACGCCAAGCTTGCGGGTGTACAGCATGGGGACCCCTCCTCTGGGCCAGTCTCAGGCCAGGGACTCTGCTGTGCCTGGAGTTGGGTGCCCGGCCCCTTTTTTAGCTGATGTCAGCCCCAGGCACCACATTTCAGGATGGAGGTGGGAAGAGAGGGCTTCCCATGAGCGTGAGTCAAAGCTGTGAGGTCATGGGCCTCAGTTTCCCCACTTACACACGCCTGTGCCACCTGCCTAGCAGGACATGGGTCAGACTCAGATGTCAGGTGTACATTCCTGGCCCCCAGGCCCGCAGCTCTCCCTTTGAGCGCTATCTGTCAGCGCTCCTCGGCCATCGGGGCCCCCCAGGGAAGGCACCGATCCGCCCAGGGCCAGGGTTAAGCAGGCCTTGGGACAGTGGCCAGCAGTGAGGCTGGAGCCAGCCTCGGGCTGGAGATAGAAGGCCTGCGGGATGCTGTGGGGCTGGGTGGAGGCTGTGCTCGCCCCAGCTCATCCAGACCTGTTGGCAGGTCCTGAGCCACCCGGGGAGCCAGAAGGGCAGTCTGGGTGGGGACAGCAGCAGTGCCCCCCACGGACAGGGAGCCCCCTGGCAGCCCCCTGCCTTCCGTCCTCTACCCCCAAGGCCGCTGTCCACAGGAGCAACCTGAGCCCAGCAGGGCCGCACAAACCACTGTCCCAGCCTCCAGGCAGCCAGCCGCTGAGTTGGCTCTGCCTCCCAGAGCACCGGGGGTCTGCCCGGGGCCCTGCACCCTTACTTTCCTTTCTTCTAATTTTCAGTACCGAGGAATGACCCAGGATCTCCACGCTGAGCTATATCCAAAGGCCGTTTTTAGTATTTTTTGAGACAGAGTCTCTCTAAGTTGCTAAGTTGCCTAGGCTCCAATTTGCAATCCTCCTGCCTCAGCCTCCCAGAGTGCTGGGTTTATAGGTGTGCGCCATCGCCTGGCTACTGTGGTTGTTCTTGCGGCAATTTCAGCTCCTGGAGATAAACTTAGAGAACAGGCTGTAGAAAGAGCTGGGTTGGGCCAGGGATTTAGCTCAGTGGTTCCGCCGCCTGCCTCACAAGCACAAGGTCCCGAGTTCGATCCCCTGGTACCAAAAAGTAAAAAGAGCTGGGTCGATCTCTGGCTGTTCTGGGGCCCGGTTCTCGGGTCTCCTGCAGGAAGGTCAGGCCACCCACTTGTCCTGGAGCTGTCTCTGGCTCCACCTGGAGTTGGGGGCCCTGTCTCTTTCTCAGCAGATGTCACCCCAGGCACCCTGACTCCAGATGGAAGTGGGAAGAGGGAATTTCCGGTGACATCGGGCACAACATGAACTCAGGCCAGAGACAAGTCGCCAGACCTGCTGTGTGTCTGTGAGGCTCCCTCCTCCTCAGGCTCAGCAAGGTGGGGCTGGGCCGGGCCGGGCCGGGCCGGGGCGGGGCAGGCCAGGATGGGACAGGAAGGCCAGAGAGCTGCAACCTGGTCGCCAAGTAGGAAGGGCAGGGTGGGGTCCCCTTCTTTCTCCATTTCCCTCTGCTGCTCGTGGGCTCTCACCAGCACTTGGCAGCCTGGAGTCCAGGTGTGCGACCCCAGACCACCTAGCATTCAGTTCATCTCCACTCAGGTGGTGCAGGCCTGTAACCCCAGGACTCTGGAAGGCTGAGGGAGGAGGAGCACAAGTTTAAGCCCAGCCTGGGCAAGTCTAGCCCAAATTTAACAAGACCGTGTTTCACACACACACACAGGTTGGGGTTGGTGATGGAGCTCAGTGGCAGAGCACCCCTGGGTTCCATCTCCAGCACCATCAAATAAGTAATTAATAAATAAATAGTGTGGGAGATACAGCCCAGTGCAGAGGCCCTGTACAAAAGCAGAGGCCCTGTACAAAAGCAGAGCAGGGCATGATGGTGCATGCTTACAATCACAGCACTCAGGAGGCTGAGGCAGGAGGATTACTGCCAGTTTGAGGCCAACCTGGGCTACATAGTGAGCTCAAGGCCAGACTGAACAACATAGCGAGACCCTGTCTCAAAAAAAAACGAAAAAGGAGGAGGAAGAGGAGGGAGAGGAAGGTGAGGAAGAGAAGGAAGGGAGGAAGGGAGGGAGAAAGGAAGGAAGGAAGGTTTCAGTACCAGCCCAGCATGCTTGCAGACCCCCTCACCGCTAAGGTGGAAGCAGGCAGAGGCCACGGCCTGGGCAGGAAGATCTCCATTCTGGTGCAAAGCATGATGGGTAAGACGCTCCAGCAGGCAGCAGAGCTGGAGCCAGGATGGAGCCCACTGCTTGCTCCAGGCACTCACAGCAGGCAGACATCCTTTGGGAGAAAGGAAACTGTGTCCCAGAACTTTCGGGGTTCGAAGGCTCCAGAGGGGTTGTTGGTGCTTGAGAGCAAACAGGGAGAAGAGCTTTGGGAGCAAAGGGAAAGGAAAAGCAATCCCCTCAGGAGGAGCAGAACCTCCGGGCACTGGGGCTGGGGCTGGGGCTGGGGCTGACACTCTGGTGTGCTCTGGGCCCTGGTGTTCCTGTCTCACACAATTGGAGAACTCAGAAAGTCTCAGTTTTGGGGACACCCCTACCCAGATGGGGGTTGGGGTACGGAGACTGCCGTGGCTACCCAGGAACCATGCCCTGGGGCTCAGGAAGACCCTGTGCTCCCACCAAGGAGGGCAGGGTTGGCCAGGGCCCTGGGCAGGAGCTATGCAGAA